GGTAGTTCTATCGTTTGGTTTTGAATAGAGATTCATTCTACAAGTAGATTTTATATAGAGAGCCATTCTACCGGTAGGTTGTGTATGTTCCATAGGTAGGTTTTAAATCTTAAGTGTTTAAATGAGAGCCTTTTTTTTTTTTTTTTTATAGAATTCTCATTATAAAAACCCCTTCTTCTTACAAGAGTAGATAGAAACTTTTTCATAAGTCTTGTGCTTCAAGTAATACTCGATTAAGCATTGATTATGCGATAATGGCTTTCAGGAAGATTTTTCCCTCTCTCACTCGTTTATCGATCTTCATGAGTTCTCTTTATTTGCTTGGTTTTTTTTTTGGTGGCCATGATTTCTTTTACTTTTTTGAAGAAGGCCAAGATCCGGTCAGGGAGGGATACCTTGATTCGCACCCTAGGTGCCTTTTCTTCCAAGTGGTTTGAGAAAGGGAAGTGGAAAAAGGAGGATGATGAGGAACATGAGGAAAAGAAGAAGAAGGGGAAGATGACGAGGGATGGGCCTGAACCCTATGAAGACGAAGACGATGCCTCCTCCCTGCTGAAGAAGGAACAGCCTATGGATCCTGAGGAGAAACGGGAGCACTGTTTGAAGGTTTTGACTTGGTTCATGGTTTCCAAGGCTTTGGAGTCAGATAAGGAAAAGTCAGTGTTAGAGACCACTTGAACTCGTACTGAGAAACCTAAATATGTTGGCACTAGTATCTACCATCCCATTACCTTCTCCAACTCTGATGATGAGGCTACCAGTTGATTTTACTTGTTTAGATTAGGAGTTTAGATCGAGTCTAGTAGTGTTGTCAAAGCCTAGTAGAAGAATCTTTAGGAGTATAGGCTTAATTTTGAGTCTTGGAGTTGATCTGTAATTAGAAGACTATGATCATTATCAATGAACACATCTTTTATTTTAATGATTGAGTTCCTTTGGATTTATGCTTAATAGTTCAATTGTTTTGCAATTGCTATGATGATAGATGGATCCATTGTTTCTATATTTCTTAGTTTGATGTTTACTAGGGACTAGCAAAGTCTAAGTTGGGATTGTGTTGAGATTTCAACATTCCATTATTTTATAGCTTAACATATGCACTTTAGGCTTGGTAATGTACTAATTCACTTAGTACAATTTGCATATTAAGCCTTGATTTCGGTGTTTTTAGGTAAATTAGATATAAAAGTTAAGTTTAAGCATTAAAAGGTTGGTAAGCGACAAGTTGATATTTGAGTTATTCAAGTAGAGATGAAGTTCGGAGTCTTAGAAGCAAATTGGAAGAAAATAGGAGTTCTACCAGTAGGTTTTATATTGGTAGGAAGACATAAGAATGAAGGTTCTATCGGTAGAAGGTCAGTTCTACTGGTAGTTTGATCTACAAAAGATTGGTGCAAAAGTACTACTGGTAGGTGGATTACGTTCTATAGGTAGCAAAACTCATAGTACTTTGCCCCTTTTCATTAGAGAAGTCCTACCAGTAGGTGGATCATGCTTTATTAGTACCAGAGGTTACAGTACTTTTATCAAAGAAGTTCTACTAGTAGCAAAGGTTATAGAAGTTTCAGAGAATTCATCAGACAGAGTTCTACCATTAGGTAAAGGATGTGCTACCGATAGATCAATGTAGATTTTCACGGGAAATTTAATTAAATATTAAGTCTTGTCATATCTTTTGCGGATTCTCAACCAATCAAAGAAAGAAATAATTTTGGGATGTCTATAGGTCAAAGATCTAAAGATTTCCCTTCCAACAAATTTAACTAGACCCTTTGGGGAATCAAAGGGGAGCCTAGAGAATACATTTAGGAGTCTTTCTTTTACTTTTCTTGTTAGAGAATTTTAGGGTTTATTCTACAGAATTTTACTTTTAGTTCTTTTCTTTTATGTGTTCAAGCTATATTTAATTTCAATTGTCTTTACTTTTGAAGCTTTGTTATTTACATTCAGTTTTTCAATACAAGAAATCAATTTCAACTCAGTCTTTACTTTTCTGCATTCTATTATGTCATCTTTAAAGCTTTACGTTATTTTCGCTCTTATGAGTGAGTAGTCTTCTTCTAGATGATCTGAAGAAGAAGTCCCAAACCTATGAAGTAAGGCCTATGCCTTAAATTAGAGTTTTAACGTCTATGTGGTTGATTGAACAAGTTATGTTTTCGAAAACCTAATTGGTTTACATATGTCCTTGTTATTTGTATGCAATTAGTCTTAGTTCAACTAATTGTGGTGTTTCCTATAACCTTTAGAGTACTGATTGTTTTCATCATAAACCATCTTTCAATTGCTACATTTTTTCTTTCTAAGTTTTTAGTTGAAGACCATTTATCTGTAGTAGTTTGAATATGATAGCAAATGAGTTACATAAATTTAAGGTAAAAAAATTTATCATAGGTGGGACAAATTTTGAAGATTATCCAGTTTTTCCATTTATTGAATTTCAATTTCAGTAGTAGTTAACTCTCAAAATTCTCAATTTCAAAGAGCTTTTTTATTTTATTTTTCATCACATTGGATTCCAATTCTTTCACTAAGGAGACAATCTTGGACTTTTGTTCAAGTTACTATACGATACTTTTCTCTTACGCATGAGAGCTTTTGTGAAAATACAACCCCTTTGAAGGGCAAGTAAAGAATCTAGACGTAACAAGAGGACAAAGACTTCAACGTCATTTGATCTTAATTTTCTAACTAATCTATTAAAGAATGAAGCTATTTTATCCCCTGAAGCTCTTTATTGGAAAGAAACAATTAATTCTAAAATTATGAGAAATCATACATGGAAATTGGTGTATCTTCCACTTGGTAATAAAACTTTAGGCTGTAAATGGATCTTTAATAAAAAAAGATGAAGGCTAATGGGTCCATTAACAAGTGCAAAGTTAGACTTGTAGCCAAATGATATAAACAAAGGGAAAGATTGGATTATTTCGACACTTATTCACTAGTTACAAGAATAACATTCATACAAATGTTAATTGTTATAGCTATTTTGAATGGTCTTGAGATATGTCAAATGGATGTAAAGACAACATTCTCAAATGGTGAATTAGATGAAGAAATATAGATGGAACAACCTGAAAGGTTCATTGCTAATAGACAACAAAAGAAAGTGTGCAACTTTATTAAATTTTTTTATGGTTTAAAACAAGTATCAAAGTAGTGGCATGAGAAAGTTGACAAGACAATGTTGTCAAATGGGTTTAAAATAAATAAGTATGACAAATGTGTTTATGTCAACTCTTAGGATCTCTGTTCCTTTTCAAGTTTGTAAGAGGAGTGTATGGGTCTGCTGGCAGAAGATCTCTGTTCCTTTTCAGGCTGTTTAAGGCAGAAGATCTATGGATTTTTCTGCTTCTTTACAGCTGCCCTGTGTTATGAAGCAGGCTTTACTTCAGGATATGGAGCAGCTACCAGTGCTCAGATGTAAGAAGGCTATGGTGTTTGATGATAAGGGTTGAGGGGTTGTATCCCCTGCTCTGCTTGCTGCTGTGCAGAGTGTTGAAGATATGCTGTGCGGGGGGAGGTCCAAGAGCTGAACTGTGATCAGCAGAATGCTTCTGCAACAGGTCCACATGAATTTGAGAACAAATGGTGTGCGGTCATACAAGCTATTTATTTACCAGAATTTGTTTTAGCTACCTTCATTGTTTTATATGTTGCTTTAATGATGAATGGAAATCTGCATGACATTTCCAACTGTGATTTGTTGTAAACATTCAAAAGATTTTGCGTGTTTCTCTTTGTTTAATCTTTTTGTCTTAGAGACTGTTTTTCATATTTTCATTGTTTTGGTTGCTTTATCGTATTGTTTTAAGGCTAGGTTGTTTGTCTTTCTCCAATTATAATCAATTTTTAAGTAATGAAATAAAGTGTTGATTTGTTTGAAAAAAAAAAATACAAAAAAAATTATATATTTAACTTTCCTTATTTTTATATGTTTTTATGTATATGTAAAAAATTTATAATTTCATTAGGCTTGGATGGGTTAACCAAACATAGGATATGATTGGTTTGGATTGGAATTGATAGAGTCATGAGTAGAATGGTAAATTACTACAAAATTATTTGTGTAATCTATGGGGTCCACTAAATTATACATTTATTTCTCAAAACAAGGATTAGGATTAGATCTAATCTTGGGTTAGGGTTTTAAAGTGGATAAGTGAGTTTGACTTGAATTGGTTAGGATATAAAAAAAAAAACCTATCCTATCCTACCCCATTACCCAAACACACTTTTTGAGTTTATTTAATCCATGTAGATAGGTTAAAATTGACTTTTCAAACCGGATTAGAATAACTTAATCCATGGAAGCTAGCAATGAAATATAGAAGCTGCAGGTACCACTTTATTGGGCTTTTGCCCTAATGAGTTTCACTACCTTGTATTTTTAGGAATTTATCATTTATAGCTTCTTATGGCAGCCTTAATTTGGGGGAGGAGATTTTGCAAAGCTGGTCAATATATACGTTGATGATAATGTTCTTTCAACATGGTAGTTCCCTTCAAAAAGCTTCATTATATTTGGAATGAAGTTACGATAAATATCATATTAAGGAAGGATTTAGTTTTCAAACTTACCAAATATACGTTCATGATAACGCTCTTTCAAACACGGTAGTTCCCTTCGGAAAGCTTCATCATATTTGGAATGAATTTAGAATAAATATCATATTAAGACGGGATTTAATTTTCAAACGTTCCAAATAAAAACCACTAGAAAGATCAAACTGAAATATCACCATCAAATTTTCCACAAAATCAGCTACATTTCAGTATACATACTTGTCTTCCACCAGGACAAAAGGAAAAGAAAAAAAAAATTGTTACAAGCATTTTGTTTCATGCCCAAAATAAAGCTTTTCACTCCAAAAGTAGCATATAACANAAAAAAAAAATTGTTACAAGCATTTTGTTTCATGCCCAAAATAAAGCTTTTCACTCCAAAAGTAGCATATAACAAAATGCAGCTTCTACAATGGTTTTTATTGATGTCCATGGTGATGTCAGTGTCTTTCAGTTTCTCTAAAGCCATAGATTGTAAACTGAATCAAAATGATGCAGCAAAAGTAGCAAATACTATCACTGTGGATAAGTCTGGCCACGGAAATTTCATGACGATTCAAGAGGCTGTTGATCACATTCCTTTGAACAACGATCAATGGATTCGAATCCATGCTAATCCTGGCATATACACGTAAATTTTTGAGTTAAAATCATACTTAATTCAATATCTCTTCACCTTTTTCTTTCTTTCTTTCTTTTTAAGCAATATTCAAAGTGTTTGTGTTCGTTTGATTCAAAAGTTCTTTTTCTTTCTTTAATTTTTTGTCAAGCCCCATTCTTTTACCAGAAAGGGTTTTTGGAAAATAGGCTGGTCGTGACGTTTGTAGGTAAATTGACTGAAATAGATTTTTTGTGCAGGGAGAAAGTAACAATTCCTGAGGACAAACCGTGCATTCTTCTAGAAGGAAGTGGATATAGCCAAACAACAATTACTTGGAATGACCATAGTAGAACAGACACTAGTGCAACATTCACTGTCTCTCCAGACAATTTTGTGGCCAAGGGCATCGCCTTCAAGGTTAAACACTTCTTTTCGGAAGAAAAAAAATTGAAAAAAGATGTGTTAAAAGTTAAATTTCNGGCATCGCCTTCAAGGTTAAACACTTCTTTTCGGAAGAAAAAAAATTGAAAAAAGATGTGTTAAAAGTTAAATTTCGAACAGTTAGTCCAACAATCCTTCCATATTGTTTTCTTAGATTTTTTTTTTTTTGCTGCTGCAACTTATGAAACTTTCATTAACATATCGGTTGATAACATTTTTTTTTTAATGTTTTAAGTATTTTTTGTAAAGAACTGTTTGTTTTGCATTTTCTTTTATTCTGTTTTTGACATATTTGGGTTTTTATTTATTTATTTTTTTTTTTGCCAACTTAATCCGATCATAGTAGTACACATATAAATGAATAATTTGTAAATATATTACATTGCATATACAATTCGAAACAAAGGGGAAACCAAATAATGCATAAATTTTCACCACTTCACTGTTGTTTGGTCATGCCTTGCATTTCTTTTTTAAAAATATATCCAAAACATATTAACATAGTATTTCATTTAAAAAAACTCGAAAAACCGTTTTCACTANAAATTTTCACCACTTCACTGTTGTTTGGTCATGCCTTGCATTTCTTTTTTAAAAATGTATCCAAAACATATTAACATAGTATTTCATGTTTAAAAAAACTCGAAAAACCGTTTTCACCACAATATTCTGGATCAATATTGTATCCTATCCAATCAAACAAAACAATTCTAAAAATATCTCCAAAACATATTAACATGGTATTTCAAGTTTAAAAAAATCGAAAAACCATTTTCGCAACAATATTCTTGATCAATATAGTATCCTATTCAATCAAACAAAACAATCAATGATAAGAGTCTATGCTTTTATGTATTCAGCACTCTATAGCTTGGCTTGTGCAAAGTTCAAACTAAACACAGCTAATTAACATGATGGTTTTTAACTGTAAGCAGAACTCGTACAATCGTCCTGTCCAGCAAACTGCTGAGGCTGAAAACGCTTGGACTCAAGCACTTGCAGTGAGAATTTATGGTGATAAATCGGCCTTCCACCAATGCGCTTTCATGGGATTTCAAGACACAATATGGGATGTAAAAGGTCGCCACTACTTCAATTCTTGCTATATTGAAGGAGCAGTAGATTTCATCTGGGGCAGTGGCCAATCTTTATACGAGGTACATTGTTGACCCATGCATTATAGGGATGATTTTTTTTTTTTGGGTAATCATCCTGCTTATTTTGTACCTATGGTTGCTACACAAACCTCACATATATGTAATTAACTGTAAATTATGCACAATAATTAACTCAAATTTACACACTAAGTGAGACTCGAATTTAAGTCGTTCGANTAAATTATGCACAATAATTAACTCAAATTTACACACTAAGTGAGACTCGAATTTAAGTCGTTCGAGTTTATGTCTTAGGTTGTTTGACAACCAATCTCTTATCAAATAGGTTGCCTTCCTGTGGTTTGACTCCATAACATTTACATTTATACGTAATATCGTTGAGACTTAAAAATTTAATCTAATTTATTGATATAATTATGTATTAAGTGATAGAATTCTAATAAATAAGTCTAATCATTACAGTCACAAGAATACTAATAGACCATGTCACTATTACATCATTATATCAATAAATTAATTTAATTTTTTAGGTCTCAATAACATTATTTATTTTAAAAACTTCACAAACATCCTAGGGTTGGGGCTAACGTGCAAAGCTAACTGGTTAACATTTTAGCGTAAAAACATAATCATACACTTTAGCATTCATGTCAATCACTGTTTTCCTTTTAAACCTTTTATACAGACCCAAAACATAAAAGTCACCTTGACGTTTGATTTATTAGCAATAGTGAATTTGAAATTTGTTTGTTAATTCTAAATGAGTTAACGGTTCAAATTTAGTCCAAAACTACAAGGATTTATATATAGGTTTTCGAAATATGGGAGAGAAAGTGATATCGGATCAAACCATTGAGAGCTATCCATAATTTGCATCTATTTTTCTCCGAAACCATTCCAACTATACGTCTTTTCTACTGTAAATTTCAGTGTGAAGTCACACGCAAACGAAGTTCCATCAGTTAAACGTGGGTATATGTGGTCTGTAGAACTCGAACTTTTAGGATTTGGGGGTTTACGCATCGGCCGGTGTATGTCCAGTGAACCGACCAGTGCGGGTTATTATGCCAAAGATTTTGCGAACCAACGTTTGAACTGTTTCCATGTTTTTCATTGTTGGTGCAGGACTGTTCTATAAATTCTACTGCAGGACGGCTAGCTCCACTAAGTTCTGAAGGATTTATAACTGCACAGGGACGACAATCCCCGGATGATCCTAGTGGTTTTGTGTTCTCGGGGGGTAGTATTTCCGGTACCGGAAAAACCTACCTAGGAAGAGCCTATGGTCCTTATTCCAGAGTAATATTTCATGGTACAACGTTAGGTGCAGTGGTGGTTCCTCAAGGATGGAATGCTTGGAAATTCCAAGGCCAGGAGTAAGTTCCGCTTGTCTTAGAGATATCGTTTATTTATCCGGTGTCACTAGGTCTGTTAATATGTTGGTTTTAAATTAGATTTAAATCGACCAAATTCCAATCCAAATTTTCAATGGATTTTATTTTCGGAGTTCATATCCGTGTCCTTCANCCGCTTGTCTTAGAGATATCGTTTATTTATCCGGTGTCACTAGGTCTGTTAATATATTGGTTTTAAATTAGATTTAAATCGACCAAATTCCAATCCAAATTTTCAATGGATTTTATTTTCAGAGTTCATATCCGTGTCCTTCAAAAATTGAAAATAAGATTCAAAAAACATATTTGAATAAATCAAGTAATTTATTTTTTAGTAAATTCCATCTANTTCATATCCGTGTCCTTCAAAAATTGAAAATAAGATTCAAAAAACATATTTGAATAAATCAAGTAATTTATTTTTTAGTAAATTCCATCTAAATTTTAACTCTATTTAGTCTTGTAATATCTAATTTCCATCACATATTTATATAGATATGTATAGTTTAGATCAAGTCACAATTTGGATGTATATTGGTATATGTCCAACTCTAAATTCATAATATTGTTGATCAAAATCGGATCAATTGATAGGCTCTGTGTGATGTTTGGCTACGTACATTAATAACAAAAGCTCCATTCCTTTTTTTTTGCATGAAATGCAGAGGAAGATTTACGTACGCTGAGATTGATTGTAAAGGAGCAGGGGCTGACACATCCAAACGCGTTGGCTGGGAGAGAAAAAGTCTGTCTGGTTCAGAGCTACAACAATTTTTGGGATCAAATTTTATCAACCAAGATGAGTGGCTACCCACTCAACCATGACCAAGAAATTCTTTACTCAAATGCTTTTGCTTTTTAACAGAAATAATCTCACATAGAATAGCAATACGTATATCTGATTCTTCTTAGGTCCCGTAGCAGCTGAATCTCCTGCACTGAGATGTTACTTTTAATTGTTTTGCTTTCTAGGACGTTTCTCTTTGTTTTGGCTACTTTCTTTTGTTGATTGCAAGTGCCATGTTTTGTTGAATGGCAAGACAATATTTTAGGGGAATTGGATGGTTTACTGTTGCAATTGTTGATTGATAGAAAATAACAAAAAAATAAAAAATGTGCGAGACATATCAGTTTGCTCTATTGACTACTGTGGTAATCCTTTCTAGTAAATACTATTTTGCTCATTTTGTAAGACTACATTTATACGTCAAATGATATGACAGTCTCACACTCAACAAATAAGAGGTTCAAACAAAAAACAATTGGTGTGTGAGTGTACCATATATCATTCAGGGTCATCAAATTTTGTTTCAAACTTCGGTCAGCATAGTATTTTTGATAAAATAAAAGTATAACCATGCCAAGACTTCAGAGAAAATAAGACAAAAGAGAGGATAAGTGCAGAGTCAAAATTGATTTTTAAATTAGTGTTTTATCATACTCTAAAATTGGGGTGATATATATGTACTAATTAAAATAACTCTGTGTCTGAAGACATTATATAATATGAAAAATTGAGCATTGATAGTGCAATATTTATATTTTGAAAAAGAATTTATTTTTATTTTCTTTAATTAATGTAATTTAAAATTAAATTGCACTGACAGAAAAATTAGAGAGAAGAGAGAGATAGGTGGCCTTAGTGGGGTTGGGATTGCATCGGTTGAGTTGTTTGCCATGATCAAAATTTCGGTTCAATACATTATTTTGGAAATCTAGAAAACGGAAACGTTTTGATGTGTTTCAGAAACGTTTCGACCCGTTTCGGAAATAGAATAAAAAAATAAAAAATTAAAGAATTATTTTTCTAAAATATTGGTCGAAATATATCGAAATATTTCAAAATAATTGTGTAAATGCATTGAAATATTATAAAATACCTCAAAGTATTACAAAACACGTCGAAGTATTAGAATTTCGATTTCATCACTGAATCGTTTCGGTCTTCATGAAAATGGAAACGTTTCGGATATTTCGACCGTGTCGAAACAAAATTTTGATTAGAAGTCTTGTAGTGAAAATAATGTTTTTAAATGAAAAAAAAATGAGATGAATTTTGCACCATTTTATCAAAGTGGATGAAAATTGGATGGACCATGACCATTATTGTATTTTTATAAGTTAATAATTCAATTTTCTAGCTATAATATTAGATAGACTAGCAATAACTCCGCACCCAAAGAAACTATTCAATAGCAAAAAATCGATTATTGATCGTACAATATTTTATATTTTAAATACAAATTTATTTTTGCTTTTATTTATTTTAATTATGTAATTTAAAATTAAAGTGAACATATAAAAAGTAAAAGATAAGCACGGAAGAGAGAAAAGAGAGGTAGACGGAGATTAGTGGAGTTTTGACATTAGAAAGTGTGTTGGAAGAGTTGTCTCACATTGAGAGTCATCTAGCAAAGATGGTATTTTTTAGCAGAAAAAATATTTTGGGATAGATTTTGCACCATTAGATCAAAGAAGTTAAAATTTAGATCAATTTTAACCGTTATTATAATTTTATAAATTAATAATTTAATTTTTTAGCTCTAAGAGAAAACATACATAACTTGCAAATAATGGATATAGGGAAGAGAATGAGCCAAAACAATATTCCCACCAAATTGTTTAACGATAAATGTTTTAGAATTGTATTTCAAAAACTATTCATTTGCTCCCGAACAATAGTTACTTGAAATGAATCTGCATGAGTAGGGTAATTAGAGACGTGAGGTTTAGTTTCGAGTGAACTGTAAATTCAAATGTCTTAATATCCTCTAATTTTAATTGATACTTATAATTAATAGATGATTGTAGATATCCCTAATTTCTTCTAAGATTTCTCGTTTTAAAAAAAAAAAAAAACCAGTGCTTAGAAATACTCCCCAAGTTACATCGCCGAGGATACAAATCTAAATGGTCAGCTCAGATGAAATTGTAGTGGCAAACCTTTCAGAATCTTGTAGTGGCCAAAGTAAGTATTGTCTATCTACAACGTCACTTACCAACCAATTAGTAATGTATGTTTAATTATGGGGAAAAGCTCATGCAAATGTGGAAAGGAAATACTAGGCTTGCTTCCCTTTTTCTCCCTTTCAAAAAATTATCTTTTGACGATTTAATGAATTCAAATTGAAAGCAAAGTGACCTGCAAACAATTGAAATGTTCCATGTAGCTTAAACTCTTATCAGTATATGTATTAATTCCTTTTGATTTTGTCATACGTAGAATGTNACAATTGAAATGTTCCATGTAGCTTAAACTCTTATCAGTATATGTATTAATTCCTTTTGATTTTGTCATACTTAGAATGTGGGTTTTGATAGAGCGATAAAATTATCTTTTGTGATATAGATGTCAAGAATTTGAATTTGTAAGAATAATATTTTGTATTTGAAGATAAGACTGTACATCTAAGTCTTGGACCGTCTTGTATGTTTTACTTTAATAATATTAAACCATAACTAAAATAAATGTTGAAGAGTATACTTGAAAAAAATCATTTATGAAACCCCTTCCAAATATTAAAGTGCATGTTTGAAAGCAATCATTTTGTCAAAAAATAACTGAATTAATCATTCCTGAGAACGCGTTCGCTTGCAATCATTTTCTTACATGCCCATGATTTGTAGTGGCTATTAGGTCTCGGATATGGGTTGATAACTTCATGATTTGTATTTAATTCTAGGATTATGCCTTCATAAAGATATTAGAAGAAAGAGCAAATGCAAGTCTCATAGAAAACTGAAGAATTCCGATTCTCAAGCAGTCTAGTGAGCTTCGAACGAGGGACAACATAGAGACTTTAGACTTTGTGCTCTTACAAATAGTGTCGCAGTCTGATTAAGATGCACTTTAGGTATATGCATATTAATATATTATGCACTTTAGCTGGATTCAGATGCAAATTATAGTAGAATTCAATCCATTGATAGATAGGATGGTGCTATCAACCTCATAATAAACCCATTCCTAGAGAGCCATGAAATTATATATATTCGGGGTACAATTTGGGTGGGCCAATCGAAACCAGTTTAAATTTAATTTGAAAACATAGTGTTAGAGTTGATATTTTTAGGGTTATAGTTAAAAGGTTTTAACCAAAATTAAATTTTGACAAGGCTTGGGTTAAGAGCTCAGGTTCACGGGTTTATGGCGAACCCAACCCGAATTAATGTATTATATTTATATAAACAATATAAAAATAAAATATAAATACATATTTTGTAATAATAATAATAATAATAATAATAATAATAATTATCATCTCACATCGGATAAACAACTCAAATGGTCTCTCTCCTCTCGTCTATATAAAGAAGGTTCACACTTACACCCTTAAGAAGTTGTCTTGATGGATTTTATCTTAACGGACTATATAATATTATGTAATAGTCCAATATTGTGTAAAGACTCATACTTAATTTAGGACTATTGTTTGTTAAGCCTGGATTACCAACTTGAATTGAGCCCAAAAATGGGTAACCCAATTTTATCCTGAGTTTGCCAGAAATCAACTCGACCAATGATCAGGTTGAGTATCTTGGGTTGAGGTCGAATTAGAGTTAGAATTGAAGATACCTAGGGTTGATCCCTCAATCAGGCCAACTCACCCAAGTTGCACCCCTAGTATGTATTGGGAAATTTAAATCATAATTTCCTAGGTTAATCTCTAGCACCATGATTTTTGTTTAGCTATTATAAATATTCAATAATAAATCAAGTGAGGGTTCATGCCATGTGGCCTGTAACTAGCCTCATCCTATTCTACCCATCAGGAATGAAATTAGGATTCTATCTTTGAGAGGCCAGTTTTATTTCTTTGGAAACTTCATTTTTTATGTACACAATCAAAGAATATGCAAGAAAATTATCCTCTATCTTAGTGCAAAGTTTAATTTTGACAATTTTCAAAGCAGAAAAAACAGGTTATGTGGTTGCACAAGAATTGAGAAATATAAGTACAAGTCTGATCAATACACACCTAGCGA